GTCAGCCAAGGAGTCTTTCTTCCCCCAAACTGGGGTTCAACTCACGGGGTTCAAGGAGGGTTCCCCCACCCTCAGAATGACACAGACAGCTCTCTCTTATCTGGACCCGTCCAATCACAACCTCCCCACAAGTCCCAGACCCATTGTGCGCCTTCCTCCCTTATTTCTCCCTGATTCCTAGCCTAGAACACCCTTCTTGTCTTTGCTAGAACCTGTTGTCCTTTAAGATTGACTCCAGGTGCACCTTGCTCAGGTGCATCTTGCTCAGGGCTCTGTGCTGTGAGCCTTCATACATGCTTCTGTATTCCCAGCCAGCAGCACATAGTGGGCCTTCAAGAACAGGTGAGTCAATTCAATGCAAAAGCCCTTCACACTTTGTAATGCATCCATTAACTCTAGTTATCGTCAGAAGGCAGATCACGAAGTGCCAAATCAATCCTGACTCAGAGCTGTGACATCACGCTGCTGTCTTTTCAACCCCAAACATTAAACATGCAGTAAGTGTCCCCTCAATATTTTCCAAGTGACAGTCTCACTCCAAGGGAAGACCATTTCCAGCAGAGTGCAGGCTGACTGCAGACAGTGTATTAGAAGCTACAGTTCACCCAGACCCCGGTGACTCCTATACACATTTGGGATCGGGGAAGAGCACTCTTCTCCAGGCTACGCCCCTTCCTTTCCAACGAAGTCGGAACTGAGTCAGTATGGTGCACCTGCAGAACCGTCCACATCCAATGATGTGAGGATGTGCCCGTATCACTCCTTCTCTCCACTTTAAACAGGAGTGTGCCTGGGCGCTGGGGGCTTGTGCTCAGGAGGGGGGCGCACAGACAAAGATGGGATTCCACAAGGACCGGGGGCTCAAAGGCTGAATCTGTGACGCGGGCAACCCCTAGCCCAGGAACATGGGGTGTCCAGGCACATCCTGGAGGAGAAAGGATGAAGCAGGGCCGCCTCCAGGCTCTCTGTTGGCTCTCCTCCATGATTCTGGATAAAGCAACAATGAAATATCCAGCCGGGGGTCCAGATTGGGGGGACAGAGAAGAGTTATAACATCTGACTTCCCCAGATAAAAGGGAAGCCGCACCTGCAGGCACTGTGGGACATAATGATTCCAGCTAGAAACACAGGAAGAACTCGGGTATGAAATGATAAAGAGCAATGCAGGGATGCCTTTCTCCCAAGAAGATAGCAGAAAATAAAATTACAAATTAAATAACAAACAAACAAACAGGAATTGGCAACCAAGGCATCCCGCATCCTCTGGGGAGTGTGGGGGTGGGGGGTTCAGAATAGTGCCCATGTGCTCCCGGTTGACAATGGGCTACAAACCCCAAGAAGCCTGCAGAGCCCACACCTGGCATGAGAGGAAGCTCATAAACCTGTCTCCAGATTGCCATCTACTGCAGGGCCACCTTCTTCTGGCTCCGAATAGAATCTTCTGGCTCTGTGAGAAAGGGCTGCCTAGAAGGCACTTTGACTTCTCAAAGCCACCCGAACAAAGGCACCCCCTTCCACTCACACAATTCAGGCTGAGGCTTTGAGGACCAGCCTGTAGCGGGAAACGGAGAATGGCGCTGATGTTCCCTTGGGAACTATCACCTCACCACCTGTCACAGCCATGCTCTGAGAACACCGCCACGCCACAGAGTGCAAGAGTGAGTCACCTGTGCCTGGCAACTGAGAGGGGCTGTCAGCTGAAGCACCGACAACCCCCACTTGTGGCCTCTGTTCAGTGACTCTGAGAGGCAAGCCATTAGTGTGTGCCTACGTAACTAACGTTCTTGGAAAGACCAGCATCAGGGGCTACAAGAAGGGTGATTCTTCCCCCAAGAAATGCAAACCCTTCCTGGGAAAGCAAGACCCGAGCCACAGGAAACGCGGGCAGATCATGGACAGGCACAGCCTGAGCAGAGAGCTGCATGCCCTGCCCCTGGTTAAAGGCAGGTGGCAGCAGAGCCAGGGGCGGAGATGGGCTTCGGTGCATAGGTAGGGAAGGGCCCGCAGCATGCGCCCCCAGGAAGTGAGAGTCCTCCGCACTTGGAAGGGGTTATGGGGATAGAACGCTGGGCTGCTAACCCGGCATGGATGGAGTCTGAGGCCCTGGGAAGGGAGGGGAGGCTCTCACTGGGGCAGGGTGACTTGCTCCGGGCAGCTCTTGGGGAGAAGCGGCCTGCTGTGGGGGCTGACTGTGCTCAGGGCTAACAGGGACTCCTGAGGGTGTTCCATTGTTTCACCGTACCGTGCTGCAGGTCCCTCCTGCCTGGCAGGAAAGGACTTAGAACAGGCACAGGATTCAAACTGCCACACTGTGTTTGCTTGTCAGGGAGTGGACTCTTCTCCTGGAGCACTGCACCGGCACATGCACACAGGCTTGGAGCTACAGGGGCCTGAGGATGAAGGCAGCCCCTCTCCCTGGTATTCAGGACCCCCAGAAACTCGGCCACCCACCTGACCCTGCCTCGGGCCTTTGTAACCTTGTGTCCCACTTCTCCGCACTCCCCATTCTCCGTGTAAGCCCGAATAGTCTCTATGTTGTGCAGTGGTGCCCTGCCGGCCGGCCTTCTCTGGGCTCCTCTCCTGCGTCCACCACCCAGGCTTCACTTGACTTCAAGAACAGCCAGCCCTTCCCAGGGACGGAGGACCTCTCACAGGAAAGGAGCTCCCTGTCTCAGCTGTAGTCAGGAAAGCGAGCCTGTCAAACGCGACTCACTCCTGTTTGTCCCACAAGGTTGAAGGGCCGGTAAGAGGGCACCTATTGGGAACTGGTGCCAAGCCCTTCTTGGCAATAGGCAAGTTTCCACCTGTGAGACGGCAGGCAGGCCTGATGAGGGGGTAATATGGAAGAGTTCTTTAAGAAGGTCACTCAGAAATGAGGGGTGAGTGAAGTTCTGGGACGGAAGCTTCAGAAGAGGCAGAGTAAGACCTGGACACATTCTAAATGATGAACAGCCAGTTCCCCTCACCTTTGTTTTCTCCTCCATTAATATAAATTTGTTGGTCTCCAAGATTCTTATCTAACTTTAGGAGCTGCTGTTGTCAGTTGATCCCAGATAGATGGATCTTAAAGGAGCACAGTGCTCAAGGCAGATGTCTCTACTAGCTAAACTATTGTTGGTCTTAAGAAGACTTCAGGGATATTTTAAGGTTTAAAGATTGTTTCACAGCAATTAATTTGCAGGTTCCTCCAGTCTCGGCTCCCAAAGGTCTGAATTTCAAGAACATTTGAAACCATGTTTCTCAATGACCACCACCATGCCCCCCAGCCTCCTACTGGCTTTTGATCAGGATTCTTCTATAGAAACTTTGAACCAAATGTTTGGTCTTGGTAGTCAAGGACCACCCAGTTCTTCTGGTCTCACGAAGAAGGAGGCAGTGTTCACAGGAGGAGTTAGCTTCACGGTCTCTTTCCACCTCCTGTGCCTCACTCTTCCTGTGGCTCCCGGCGCAGGGACCAACTGTGGTGCCCTGGGTGGGAATGGCAAGTGTGAAGACCCCAGGGACCACACCATGAACTAGGATGGCGAACAGAAGCACTACACCTGCTAGGAGGCCAATTGACCACAAACCACACAACTGTACCCTAGGCCTTCAGAGGGCCAATCCCATAAGGTGTTTTGTTGTACCCAAACAGCCTTGGCAGCTACCCTTTCACTGATGTAAAAATATCTATCACACATCACCTGCCAGTTTAAAAGTTCAAGGTATTGCTACCAATGATGATAATTAGCTGTGCTACTGTCACCATTAATTCTTGCCTTAGTGTAAACACCACTGTGAGTCTGCTTTGTTCTTTACCTCTAGGTTCCCGAGCTGTGATCAATTTTTGGACTCAGGCGTTCTCCAGAGGGGTGTTGAATGGGCCCTCCCCTCTTGAGGGGTACAGGGAGCTGGAGGTTCGCTGGAAAGGGCTGCCTCCCCGCCCCCCCCCCCAGGGGAGTGCTGCAGGGGGATCTTCAGGCCCAGAAGGTCCTGAAATCGCACTATGATGCATTGGATCAGGAGTGGACGCCTGACTAGAAGGCAGCCCTCAAAGCCTGGCCAGTGACCTAAATGCTGGCCTGCGAATCAGACCCTTTTTAGAGCCATTAAGAACGAAAGATGCAGCTAGCAAGCAAGCAAGGCAGGCAGTTGTATGGACAGACACACCCATAGACACAAACAGCACGATGAAGCAATATCCCAACAGGTCAGACACTTAGAGACACAATAAGAGCCAGCAGGAAGCAGCTGGGAGTGGTGGGCTCCATGGAGCCCCATGGGTCAGGTGCAAGCAGCAGCAGCAGCACCTGAGGCAGGTCGCCTGGCAACACCGAGACAGCTCTAGCATCCCTGCCCGGCCACCAGAACTGCCTGTCACCATGAGACCTGTTGAGAGTTTGTAAAGCAATCGCATTTCTGCAAGACGCATCGAGGCCACCAGAGCTGCTTCCTTCCTTCCCTAGAAGCTCAGCAATAGATCCCATCAGCTCAGGGTAACCGGAGCATGTGCTGTGTCTGCACCCTAGAAGGTGTCAACTAACAGAAAGCACTGCCTCCACCTGAGGCCGTCGCTTCGCCATTCTCAGTCAACATTTTTGAAAAGTCAGCAGAGAGGCTGGATTCTAGGCCTCAAGGACCATGGCAGTCTCCCCAAGTACAGAGCGGGGCCGCGAAGCTCGAAACGCCCCTGCTCGTTTCAATACACCTAGCTCAAGCGAACAGGGTGCTGGCCATTTCTCCTGAGCGTGGCGGGGGAATAACCACAGATCCTGCCATGTCACGAGAAACACATCCCGTTCTTTGAAGACGAGCTGCCTCTGACATGGTCAGCGATGAAATAAGGGTGATCGCTCAGGTGAGAGTGGTAAAGATCAAGAAGCTGCTCTGTCTCACATCAGAGTCCGTGCCCTGTCCAACGCCTCTAGCTGTCTGATGAAATGAATGTCGAACACAGCCCGGCACCTTTCGTCCACTCAAACAAGCACCTGCATCAGACGGGCAGAGGGAGCAGGACCCACCTTGCCAGCCAGGTTTGCACGCAGGCTTCACGTCCACCTGCACCAGGGCGTCCTGGGCGGCCGGCTTCTGCCCACAGTCGTAGGCGGTCACCAGGATCTCGTACTGGTGTTGCTTGTCAGAGCTCAGCTTCTCTGTGTTCCGGATGTTGCCTGGAGACACAGCAATGAACAGTTATCTTAGACCAACTGGAACGATGTAAGGACAGTATGCCTTCTCACCCAAATCCGCTCTTTCCTCTACCAACTGCACGCCAGTGAAACCATCCTGTCTCCTCATCTCCTCATCACTCAGTAAAAGCATCAACTAGGCAAGCAGGACCATGGTTCCTACCCGTGACTCTTGGATGGCACAACCTGGGCCCAGCCTGGGTCACAGGGCTGTGGGGGGAGTGCAGAGCACACATCTGGAACCCAGCTGGCTCAGGATGGTAAGTGATGGGTCGCCGAATACTTCCTACCCAAGTGCACCCCTGCGCTGTGTCCTCCGTGTAGGGTAAAGGAGCTATCTGCCATGAAATCTCTGGGTAAAGGATGGACTACAGAAACTGTCCTGACACACATTTTTTAAACATCTGGGCTTCCTGCCAGCAATGCTCACTGCCTCTTCTCACATTAGTTTGCTACCAAATAGGAAGTAAAATCAATAAGAAAATGTGTGACCTCGCTTCCTTCTGGAAGCTACGCAGACTCACTGATTCCTTGCCCTGGTGGCAACGACATTTTTCTTCTCCCAGAGAGACTGAAACATTTTTCTGAACCACTTGTGTGTTTTGTCTCCTGTGGGTTTGCTGTTATGATTCAGAAATAAATACTGTTAATTAATGAATGCATTTTCAAGGGATGACTTTTGCTGAAATGCAATTCTGGTCCCAGGGAATCATATCATAATACATGCACACAGTACTAATTTTTTTTAATCCAAGAGATGAAAGTCTTCATTTGCTTAGAACCGGCTTTCTTTTGATGGAGGAGAAGATAGCAAATTAAAACTCCAACGCCATTCATAGCTTTTAGAAATGAAATTAGGAAAATAAAACATTTTAAAAACAGACCCAACCAACAAATCGGCAAACCTTCTATGGCTGACTTGAGTATAGTTTTATATTTCATCAAAGTGGAGGCACAGGTACTGAACGGGCTTCCTTGGCAAGCCCGCTGGGGTATGTTGCCCATGGGAATGGGCACAGCATGGGCTAGGATAAGCAGGCTTGGAAAAGTAGAAAAGACGCATGATATTTTAAAAACTGGGAATGGTAATCTACCGAACATCCACTGGGGTTCAGTGCTCACCCCAGAGGAGGGGCTATGTCAGTACTGTGGTTTTACACAAATGACACATGTGTTATATGCTTTTCTTTCAATCCATGCAACCCCTCATGTGTTCGTGTCATATCACTGGTATGTGTTTCATATGCATGTGTGCGGCATATGTGTGGGTGCATTATGTGCAAAAGTACTGCATGTGGAGTGAGTGGGGAATTGGAGAAGGACTGGTTCATGAGTATGGATGGGGACAAAGGTGTCCCAGAAATAATTCGACCCATTTATTCTGATATCTTGGTCCCTGGGTGGCAGAAAGAATTTGTGCTGAAATACTAACTGACTGGAGCTCTGGTGGCACGGTGGTTAAAGCACGTGCCAATCAAACAGAGGTTGGAGCTCCAGCTTCTCCACAGGAGGAAGCCCGGCAGTCTGCTTCTGTAAGCACTGATGGTCTTAGAAGGGAGGGCCTACGGGCAGTTCTGCTCCTTCTTGACAAGGGTCACTAGGAGTTGGAATCAGCTAACTGACAATGAGCACAGTGGACGCCCCTCCCTCCGAGTGCCACGGCAAACCAGCCTGTCAGCCTGCTGTCATCGACTACAGCCACGGCCCCGGACCGGTGGGCGCGCAGGGTGCAGATGAGATGACGATTCTGGAGGAGCTGAAGTAGGAGCAAGCCCTCAGCAAAGGCACTTGGCAACCACGGAAGCAGTCAAAGTTTTAATAAGTACAATTCCAGGTCTAGAAATTTATTCTAAGAAAATGGTAAAAACGCCAGATCTACGTACAAATATTTTCACCTGAGGAATGTTTATTACACTGAAATTTGGTAGGAAAATGGAGAGTAATGGAAGTGCTAAGCAGCTTGGATGCCAACCAACAGTTCACCAGCAGTGCCTCAGAATGAAGCCGACTTCCCAATCGCCATTGAAAACCCTTGGGAGCACAGCTGTCCTCTGACACGCATGGGGCTGTCAACATGCGCGGATTCAATGGCAACTGGCGTGGAGTTTTATGCAGAGTGTGAAATGTTACTTAGCATTAAAAGTGGCGATTATGAAGTGTTTTCAAGACTAGAAGGAGTGCATATGATAAAATATTAGGTGGAAAAAAGAGGATAAAGGATGGCTAGGATGGTGTTGTCTTGATTTTGTTTTAAAAATCCATACAAAACTATCAGAAGGATAAAATGTCAATGGTGGTTATGTTCGGTGGCATATGTTAGGGGTGATTTTTTTTCTCCATCCTTTTCTGTGCTTTCCAAATTTCCCACGAAGGGCATGCGTTACCTCCTAGTCAGATGCAAAAGAAGGGTTTTCATTTCCCTCAAGTGCATGAAGGCTGTGCGGAAGCTCCAGGGTCCTCCTGCTTCCAGCGCAGCCCTCTCACAACCAGAGCGGTCAACTAAGGCTGCGTGAAGACCAGGAGACCACTATGGACAGTCTCACAAAATCTGAGTGACAGTTTAGCGTCACTGACACCGCTGCTGTCGTTCTCCCACACTGTGGTCTGCACTGGTTCAGCAGAGTCACAGCTTCCAAATGAAACAATCGAGTTACTTAATCCCCACTCTGCTGCCAAAGAATCACGACAGGACTTGACAGTAACTGTCTCAGGCCTCTCTCTTGTGCATGCACCTATACTCACAAGCAGCCAAACTCACTGCCATCGAGTTGCATGCTACTCATAAGGACCCTGCATGAGGATAGAGCTGCCCCTTGGGGTTTCTTTAAATATTTGTAGAGTAGACAGCCTCATCTTTCTCTTGTGGTCATTTTGACCTTGTGGTTAGTAGTTCAGGGTATAGCCCATTATGGCACCAGGACTCCCCCCCTCCACTCCTCCCCCCTCCCAGCACATGCACATTGAGGTTCAGACCAGGGTGCAGCTGCCTTAGCCAGTTCCCTGCTTCAGCTGGCAAGGCTCACTTTCTGCAAGACATCCCTGAGGAGAAGCCACATGGACCTACCCTGATGCAGCCCTGGGTGCCGGAGCAGCCATGTGGAGACCCCTGCCAGTGCTGAGATGCTTACACATTCCCTGATGTGGCTTTCCTCCTGAAGTTGGCATCATAGTGTGTGTTTTGTGAGATGGAGGAGGACTTTGTGGATTGGTGTTGGACATATGGCTTAATGGGTTAGTGTTGGACTTGTGGACTTGGGCAGCACTGGGTTGGGATGTTTTCTTGATGTGCACTTCCCTTTTATATAAAACTCTCTCTTACATACATGAGTTTCTGTGGCTTTGTTTCTCTAAAGTACTCAGACTGACACACACATACACCAGGAGTGGATCTAGGTCAAGACACAACTTGGTGTTGTCTTGCTATGGGGCCCTGTCAAAAACCCATTAAGGAATAGAAGTCCAGGGAAAGACCTCGAGGCCAACAGTCAGGGGCAGGTGTTCCTGTCCCTGTTCCAGCCCTGCCACCAGTGTGACAGGAGGTATTAGACAACAGTAGACACGTGCTCTATGTTTTAGAACTCCATTTTCTGCATTTGTCAAATGCAACTAATGGTCCAGAGTCTGTCTCTCAGAAAGGCTGGCGACGTGCCAGAGATGAACAATCTGTAACGGACTCAGAGCGTCTCAAGAGGCAGGTAATGCCCCCAACTCAGTTGCCTACGGCTAATTCCACCCTGGAAATCCATCAGGAGTAAATATACATCATGCCTCAATTACCTGGGTAGCAGCTGCTAGTCACAGCGTCATTGACGAAGCACTCCCTATACGCCACCTGCCCACCACTGCCTTCCAGTCCATTCGACTCACAGAGACCCCACATCCGGCTTCCAAGACGGAACCTTGCTGAGAGCAGACAGCCTCGTTTTCCTCCTGGGGAGCGGCTGTTTGGTTTGAACCAAGGCCTTATAGTGGGCAGCGTGAGGATGCAGCACGGCACCACCAGGTGTCTTGAAAACGTCAAGCACTGCCTCTCCCTAAGGCAGTGGTTCCCAACCTTCCTCACGCCTTGACCCTGTCATACAGTGCCTCATGTGGTGGTGACCCCCAACCAGAAAATTATTTTCGTTTCTACTTCATCACTGTAATTTTGCAACTGTTATGAATCAGGTGACCCCTGTGAAAGGGTCGTTCGACCCCCAAAGGGGTCATAACCCACAGGCTGAGAACCACTGCCTTAAGGCCTTACACCCCCCACAAGGAGGTTGCAGAGCCCATTCCCGCTATGTTATCACAGGGGAGGAGTTGCAAGGGAAGGATTCTGTGGGCTTCAGCCAGAGAAACATTGTCTCTCAAGTACAGTCAGAGCTCACGCCTCTCCTGCTGTCCTGGCAAAGAGCCTAGCAGGTTGGGGGACCACAGACCATCAACCTGAAGGCAAAGAGGAGCCTGAACCTCACAGGGTGGGCCCAGACTCAGCAGTCACTTCCCTGATCTAGACGCAAAGGATTTTCTTCAAGGAGCTGGAAGATCCTTGGGAGAAGTGATGGACATCGGTCAAGTGGGAAGCTCATTAGAGCGGCTCCATGGCTGCCAGGGGTCCTGCTTTCATTATGGGAGAACTGCATCTGTGCATCTCACCACCGGGAGCCCACACTCCCCGGGAGTGCCCACTCTCCTCTTTATCTTAAGTTGTAAACCAGAATTGAAGGCGCAGGCCAGGCAAAGGAGCATTACTCACTTTTAATGAGACAGTCAGGGAAATAAATTGGCATATGTTAGCAAAATGGCTCATCGAGGTGAGTAATTATCTTCTTGACGGGGCAGTTTACCCTCTGATGAAGGTATTTGCATCTCATCTCTCCTTGGGATGTGGTCCTCCAGAAGGAGAGCAGGAGATCAAGTAGAGCCTGGTCCCTCATCCCAGATCTCTCCACTGATCTGGTCTTGCTACTCACCAAAGGCTTGTTGGTCCCTGAATTCCAAAGCTTCTCTGGGGTCTAAGCCCACAGTTGATCATGGGGGAAGGGAAACCACAAGGAGAGTAGGACAAAGCAGTTGCTGTACACATGTGCATGCGCATTTGCATGTGTGTGTGCACGCACACGCGCACACACACGCACACGCGCACCCCTGTGTGGTTGGTGGGAGCAGGTGAACCATGGCACAGGGCCTGTGGGAGATGCTGTGAAGCAGTAGGTCTGATTGTCTTCACTAATTGAAATCATCCTCTTCTTAGTCCTAAGCCAAACTTGACTTTCTTGTGCATTGATAACTATGCACCCTGGGCAGTTAGAATTTAGACGGTCCAGCTATGTAATTGTAATGCCCATGTGGTTTTGCATTTTCTAATGAAACTACCTGCTTAGGTCTTTTGTGTTTTATGAAAAATTAGTCCCAGCTCCCGAGACAGAGAAGCTACTGGAGGTCAGGAAGGGAGTGCCTCCCGGGCTCCCATGGTCCATCGTCGGAGGAATCTCAATGTTGCCAGGATACAGACGACCTCACAGAGTAAAGTCTGGGCATCCAGAAGTGCTCCAGGAGATGTGCCAGCAGGTGACTGGTGGCATTTTCCTTGATGCCTTGGCTGGCAGGAGGCTCAGAACTACTTCATTAGTGGAATGTTTTGTACATCACCCTCACTCTTGATGCCACCTGAGTTTCTGTGGTTAACACTTTTCCACTGGATGGTCAGCTCCATGTGCCAGGGGCCATGCCTATCTTTAGTCCCGCTCTACCGAGTGTCCCTGGGCCTGTCCCATAATGCACTACTGCATCAAGGCTGACTCTCAGGGACTGCAACTTCGTACCTTTGTCTGATACTTTGCTCCTTTTCAAAAGAGACCAGGGGTAGTGGAGAGCCACCCATGCAGCCACTCTTATAATCAAATAATATTCTTGCAAATAATTATCATTTGATTATAATCAAGGTATTGACAATGACAGCCAAACAAGGCTACCTAGATGGGGTCCCTGGCGCTGTTGTTTGCACCACAAAGGACTCATCACTAAAGGGAAAGGGGACCTAGTCAAAGGACATGACAGGACTGTTTTCCCTTCATTTCACTCTGTGATTGAGGTGTGGTGAGGAGGTTCTGGCTCCATTTTCCTGAGGGCGAACATTCTCAAGGGACATTATTGGCAAGAAGGCTAACGATTCCTGAATAGATTTAGGATGAGGTTGAGAAATGTTTCAAACTCCCCGCTTCTCTGTGGGCGCTTCTTTGGCTTAGAGAGAAAATAGATTGGGGTGGTGGGGGTGGTGGGGGTGGTGGGGCTGTGGGGGTGCATGTCAGGTTCCAATTCATTACATGGGAAAGGGGCCTAGATTTGGTTGCGTTGTTAGCATGGTTCACTTCTGCAGGACAACTAGAACATTCTACCGGAAAATCACCCCACCCTGAGCACTCTGTGTGTGGCACCGTGCGTTTTACAGAACCACTCACTGAGTCCGTTTCTGCGGCTGGCTACAGAGGCTCAGGCCTGGCTGGGTGCCTGCTCGTGGGAGGCCATGCTCCACAGCTGGATCTGGATGGCGAAGGAAGCACACGTGTCCAAGGACACTCAGGACTCTCCCTTGCTTTCAGAGTGGGGCTGCTGGGCTCATCCCCCCCTCCTGGGGTCACCGCCCCCCCCTGCCACCAGGGCCCTCATGGGCACTCACCATTCCTGTCGATGGCGAAGGGCACATCCGTGGTGATGATCTCGTAGTTGCATATCTGGCTGTACTGCGGGGAACAGTCCTCGTCCACAGCCTCCACCTGCAGGATGCTGTCGTAGATCTTGCCCTCTGTGACAACCGCCTTGTAGGCTGGCTCTTTGAAGGCGGGGGCAAACTCGTTGACATCTTTCACCTGGATATGGACCACAGCCCTGAGACCGCACATGGGAAGAAAGAGTGGGCATAAAGAAAGAGTCACACTCCTGTCCCACACCCGGCACATGACTCAGGACTCAAGCCAACTGAGTGGCGAGGCCACTACCCAGCCAGTCACAGAGATGTCACGCTGGAGACCCCATTGCTCCCCTTAGTCCTCTGAGACAAATCCACCCCAAGAGGCTCTTCCCCAGACTTTGTTAGCCCGTAACTTCCTTGTCACCCGGCGTTAGGCACACGTCCCCTCATGGTCCTCTCCCCTTCCCCTAATTCACCCCACCCTCTGCTCATTCAGTCCTCTGCGCAGTAGGAACGCAATCACTTATATCTACACGAGATTCTCAGATCAGCTCCTGGGAGGGAAGAGTAGCATCATCTCCAAATAAACAGCGCAGTGACAGCAGCACAGAGCCTGACAGAAAGCCAGGGAAGTGGTACAGCAAGGTCTGCCTGGGTGGTTCTGTTTAAAGAAGGCTTCCCAGAAGGACTGACAACTGAACTGGATCCTGAAGATGGGATAGGAACACATTTGGCTGATAACTAAAAAACCGTGTGTGTGTGTGTGTGTGTGTGTGTGTGTGTGTGTGTGTTTGGGCGGGGTGGGCGTTGAATTCACCCAAGGGTACTTCAAAGTGAGTCCTGTTTATCTATTTATGTACAACAGCAATTGGAAGCCCCGTGGGTCATGGTTTTCCTGGGAAACACATGAGGTTGTCAAAGTCAGACCAACTCGATGGGAGCCAGTCAGTCCAGGACCAAGAGGAGGTAGAACATTGGTGAGCAGAAAACAGCATGGGCATGTCTACAGACGCTTGGTGCATGCTGGTGCGGAAGGGTCTTTGTGTGAGTGGACGTGAGCGGGGTCAGGACACTCACTTGTGAGACTTCTTCCAGGCCGTCTCCCGGGGCCCGGCGCCACAGTCGTAGGCTTGGATGATGAACGTGTACTCCTTCCGCAGCTCGCAGTCGATGGGACTCTTGGCCCGGAGGCGGCCCTCCCCGGAAGTCTTGTTGAGCACCACAGCCTCAAAGGGGAGTTCCTGGCCATGGATCTTGAATGCACAGATTTCCCCTGCAGAAAGATAGGAAGCCTGCGTGAGGGAGACTCCTGAGACTCTGCAGGCTGACGACAGTGTTTCCATGGAGCCAGATTTACAAACATAAAGCCTCCAAGCAGTCTGACCCCACACATAGAATTCTCCTCCCAGAAAATGCTCCCGAAGATCCTGACCAACATGTATATCCATTCCATGGATGGGGAAGTTGAAATGTGACATGCACAGAAATGTCACCCGTTCCTCTCAGGTGGAAAATGCTAAGAGTCACTGGGTTGGGAGCAGCCTGATTTTCCAGCTGCCTAGTCTGCTATGAAGGAGCTTGCCCTTAGGAAAAGCCCAGAGGTAGATAGTTACAGAGGAAAGACTTAAAAGGCCAAGGCTTTCATGATCTCCTGTCTCTAAAGCCGCCACAGCGAGGCCATTCTCATCACTTCAAGTGTGATCACTGAACCTCGGCATCGCCCGGGAAGCTGTTGAGAATGCAGCCTCCCAGGGCCCAGCCCATCCTTCCTAAGTCAGCCTCCCCATTCTAACAGGCTGCCCAGGTGATTCGTTTGCTGATGAAAGTTTCAGAAGCCCTCCTGGCACACCTCGTTTAGACCTTGGTTAAACATCCCACATTGCCAGTCCAATTCCCTCCATCTCCCATCCCTCTTTCTGCCTCTTTCTGTGGTGGTGAAATGGGCACCACTTGGTGTTGTAATTTTCTCTTTTGAAAGATGGAATGTGAGCTTACATGAGTCCCAGAGTGGACAGGAGTGGGGCCCGGAAAGCTAACTTCTTAAACAGCTGAATGTGTTGAATTAATGTACTTCTCCCCTGCAGCTGGGTTGTTTACAATAACCCTTTGTCTGCATTATAACTATAAAGTCATGAGACTGTGTCCTTCTCAATCTATTGATATTTAATGAACCCTGGCAACAAGTAAACCTTCTTCTAAGTGCCTTGGGGAACTCTGAATATTGGAGTCACGTATTCTGACTGCATCCAAGGAGTTTACTGACTTCCTAGGGAGCCAATGTGGAGATGCCCAGAAAGACAGGCTTAGCATAAAGGGACATGTGAGGATTAGCAAAAGTGATATGGGTGGGTGCCAAAGAGTTCAGGGAAGTAAAACAGAGGACTAGATTCACTTCTAATTTTTCCAGGTATTAATTGATGGCTTTAGTCAAATTATATTGTCTCATGGGTCTCAATTTTCTAAGATGATCTGGGAGATGGTATGGGGTGAGCATCCACTCTGAAAAAAGAAGC